TAATAATTATTATTATTATTATGATTCTTAATTAATTTATTTTGATTTCTATTTCTCCGGTCTGCAGTGTCGAAGCGAAAATACTTGCTGTAATAAACCATAACAAAAAGTGGCAATGGTGAAATGTGTTGTCTGGTTAATGAAATTGAATCCTTTCGAGACAAGGCTGAAGAAACTGGAATATTAAAGAAAGCTAATTGGAGAACCTTGATCATATCATAATTTTCTATTATATAGGGACGCTAATTGTAAACCTGAATCCATGAATAGGAATTTTGTTTACACACGATGTTATCATTAAATCACTTTGCAGTGTTAGTGAAAGAGTGTGCAAGTATTAACAGTTTTAAATATCATACCGGCTAAAATGAGTATGTTGCTCAGTTGCACACAGTTGCAAGGGAGGCTTACAGTGTGTATGTTTTCTTTTTTTGAGTCGAAGCTACGAACAAAGGCCAGGTTAAAATATGCACTTCGCTTCATTAAGAAAAATGAAGCAACCATGCGTGAACCTCTTTTGCTGCAAAATTCGATGTTATATTACAACATTAATGATTTCTAGAAGAAACTGGAGTAATGTTTAACAAAAAGACTCTTCTCACAGCCACTGATATTATTACAGGGCAGAATGAAATGTCTTTATGACACAAATGTTATATATGTATGTGTATATATATATATATAGATATAGATATAGATATAGATATAGATATAGATATAGATATAGATATATATGTATGTATTTATAACATGACTGTTCGGAATATTAATTTAGTTGAGAAGGATAAGTTGACACCAAATTGCTAATGAGAATGGTAATGACAATAAGTCATGTGGATTTGATTTCAACAATAATGAGCAACTAATTTCTCTATTTAAATTAACAGTGGCCCGATTCCTCGCTATGACTAATGCTGATTTGTTAGTTTATGGTTTAATTCCTAACTCAAAGATTTTAGTAATACAAATACATGGCAAAAATAATAGCAAGGGTAATTATAGGCCAACACTTTTAGCTAATTTAACCTCGTTTTAGAAGGAATTCTGTATGTTAGCCAATTATATGTAGTTTAGTTCTAATGGAAGAATGTAGTACTGGTATGTACTTGTGAGTATATAATTGCGAAATAATTGTTTTATTTCAAATAGAAGCTTCAGAATGCTGTTAATCGAAGTAAACATGAAAATTTATTGTGGTAAGACAAGTATTCCTATTAGAATACTTGCATTTTTGTAAGTTCATTAGACCATGATAGATAAGGAGGTGTGCATTTTTTTTTTTGATAACAGTGTAAGTAAAGGGAGGATCTAAGGGAATGGCATGGAATAAAATATGTAAAAGTTATATTATGATACTTATTAAGAAAGGAATATCTATTTCTGATTTCCAGTGCAGTCTTTTTAAAAAATGATCTAATACATGGTACTGTATACTTAGGATAATTGTTAATGTTGATGCTATCTCCGTACACACGCTAAAAAAAAACTACCTTTACTCTTTCTAACTTAATAATATGATACGACAACGAAAGTGGTTGGAAAAAGTGCTGTGAGCTCAACCTGATATTGGTATCCCTGACAGGGGGCTCAATGGGGTGGGGGAGCAGTTGCCCTCCTAAGTCTGTTTGCCCTCTCAAGGCCTGGCTTCCCCCCACCCCCCTCCCAAGGACCACATTTTAAAACTTTTCTACTAATTACGCTTATACAGACCAGGTTACAGCTTGAAATACCTCTAGAATAGCTTATTTTTTCTACATTTTTGTTCACTTTGCTCGGCTATATTTTAAAAAATTAAGAGTTTTGAAATGTATGATACTATTGATGTTTCGTGTAACCGCCACAAGCTTAGCGAACGCTGGCGTCTACGTGGCATATAAGCCACTAACGCCGCCGTTAACTGGCGTTCGTCTGCAGAGCGCAATCGCTCCCCTGCCGCAATTGCTTGAGCAACAACGATATGACGATTGCGTCATATTGAGATCTGGCGATTTGGGTGGATGTGGCACAGCGTAATATCGGGGTGTTGCCGAAATCACGCCTTCACGATACTGCTCGTGTGGCTAGAGCTGTTATCCTGGACAAATTAAATGGTTTTGAATCGGGGAACACTATGGCCCTCACCGATGGTAGAAACATGATTTCCACGGAAGAATAACCCTGTAAATCCGCCGGGTCAGACATCCGTCACTCCCCGACCGAGGTGCCGTGCATTCACTCAAACATCCCCGCGGCTTCTAATAGTCTACCTGCTGCAGTGGAAGCCCCACCAGATGTTGTCAGCAGGACAAAATGGGTCCTCATGCTTTGCAGTAGTTGTGGATTCTCTAAAAGAGATACTGAGTATAGATAAGAAAGAAGAAAAGGAGTCACAGTAAGGGGACGTTGACAACTAACTCCCGGCCATGTCCCCTTTTAAGAGAGGCGTTGCCACTGAGTGTCAGATGGTTGTCATTATGTCACGATATTCATGCACTTCATTGCAAACTTCCCCTTTGTCTT